AGAACATCAATTATAGTAAATAAATAGCATGTTCATAAGTATTAAAACTTAATGAATTTGAATAGTAACCTTTTGTAGTTCACATTCCTTTTTCCTCACGAACCGGTTTCGAATCACCACTAGTGTCTTCTCCACTATCCTCCGGCCTTATAACGGGATTGTGAAATCCGGTGAGTGACTAAACTTGGGAGGGATTTAGTATATATGAAGAGAGAGCTTGTGAGAATTTTCTCAAGGTCTTTTTCAAGGAAGAAGACCTTCCATGTACCATGATCACTTTATTTAAAGAGTCATGTTTGCATGTTCATGCAAATTTGAGATCACCAAATTTTGACACTCAAAATTCCACTCAAATGTTTGGGATTATGTGGCAAGCATGCACGTTTGAGTTAACCAAATTTTGACACTCAAAATTCCACTCAAACTTGTGGGGTTTATTTGGCAAGCATGCAAGTTTGGTTAAACCAAATTTTGACACCTCAAAATTCCACTAACATGGATTTTTCCATTAAATGAAGTCAACATTTTGACTTTCTTCATTTTAATTCAACAATTAATTTTAATAATTAATTTCAAATTAAATAACATTAAATGATTAATTAAACTATTTAATTAATATTTAATATTAATTCAAATGTCAATCTCAATCAATTCCGACACATAATTGATTAAGATTTAAATATCTCAAATTCTCTCTTTTTATTTAATTCGTAAATAAAAGAAAAATACAGTTAAATATATCGTATATATGTAGCGCATATTCCTTAATTTGAATTCGAATACTTCGAACTCACTCGTCACACTGTTCTATGGTTTAGTCCGATATGAGCTAGAAGAGGGACCTAATGAACCTATAAATCATGAGCTCCAACGATCCAAGATTAACTGGTTAAACTCATTAACCTTGTTAACCAACATTCGTAAACTACTAGGACACTCCACTATAGCCTAGTAGTTGCACTCCCCTTCACTATAGATATATTTCTGTCCATTTGATATAACCATGATTAGTAAGTCGATTCTTCACAGGTTGTTTGTAACTAGAGCTGGGTCAATTAGCCGTTTTACCCTGAAGTTACTTCTTGTTTCTTATGTCCCACTGATCCTCTTATGAACAATTGATTTGTGGTCCAATTAGTAAACCAAATCCCTCTTAGGCCAATGAATGGGTGGGGCCCCTTGTTCAAGACCTGGAGTCAGTACTTAAGGAAACTACCTCTCTTTTATCCCTAAAAGTGGGTAGGAGCGAATTCCATCTTGCACCCCACGTCCCCAGCTATTCACCCAGTCTTACCCCTGAAATGGGAGGCCTATTGAGTCGGCGAACTCAAGCCACTCTCACCCATGCAAATCTAAGGATAATTCCTAATGAACAGGAGTTCATGGTTAGCTCAGGATTAAGATCGAGTTATCTAGGTCATCGAATGAAAAGAAAATCAGCCTCAACAGTAAACGACATTATAAAGAGAGAGTGATTTTCTTCTTGGTCCGATCTATGCAATACTCATTGCATAGGACGCCCCCACTCACATGTCTCCACATGTACAATTTAGTGATCACATTGTTTATATAATATACAAAAGTGAGCCGCATCCATAGTGTCCCCAGAATAAGGTACTCAGCCTTATCCTTATACTATAGATCATTTTAACTATGTACTTGAACTTGATCCACTTTTATGTCTCTACATATAGTTCAAGTAATCATACTATAGCCAGAGTGTTCTTAGTTTATTGGATTTAGATTAATGATCGTAAAGTTCACTTTATTCAATAACAATCTTTACTGAATAAACATCAATAATAACTTTATTGAAAATAGAATATGTCTTTGTTTACAAACTATGAGTTTTAGAACATAAAACTCAACAGTAAGTGGCTCACCCGTTGTAGGTTATGTGTTGTATCTTGTGTGTTGGCACGTGCCCGTGGATTTGCACGTGTCATTAAATTGTATGCTAGATTGTTATACTTGAATACGTACGCTTGTGATGTGTGAATGTATGCTGTTTAGTATGATGTGACATGCTATGCTTATGACGTTTATGATATTTTTGGATGATTCTGGCATGAATTGTACTAAAATTTTAATTGTAAACCGTATGAAATGTATGACATGTTACGACGATAAACGACATGAAATGTAACCCCATTAGGATTATGTATGATACGTAGACTGAAAAATGAGAAATGACATGTTAAGCAAGAAAGATGATCGCGGGGTTATATTCGTTAATGATAAACGTAGAAATATTAGGGACCTCATGCATTATGTGTGCTTATGCATTTGGGGGGATACCCCTATTCCATCACGAGGGTACGGACGCGTACACCCAATGGCAGGGGTACGTTATTTATGCCTTGCATAGTGCTGCCGTGACGGTTACTAGTTGTAACGTGTGTTTGGCCTAAGGAGCTTCCCAGAGTATGCTCGCCCGACAAGTAAAGTGGCCCAGCGGTGTGCGAACTAACTGGTGAGCCCATACCCGCATGTATGGACTGTGTGTAGAGTATATGGTACATGTCCAAATTACCAATCAGGATAGCACCGTAGGAAGTTATATTGAAAGATAGGTCCCATCATCTCATTTGCATGTGATTGTTGCATAACCCCGATAGGGGGTCACTTACTCAGTATTATAGAAATACTCAAGCCTTGTGCTACCACATTTTCAGATAAAGGCAAGGCACCCATGTGAGACCGATGGTAGCACCGCACATCCCGGGATCGTGACACATGCATAGGATAATTTCTTTCCATTCGTAGTATAGATTAGTATAGGTTGAATTTCATTTGCATTCGTAGTATAGGTTAGTATAGGTTGACTTCCCGTTTGCATTCGTAGTATAAGTTAGTATAGGTTGAATTGTAACCGCATAATAAATCATAGGGTAGTATAAGACATTTATTTCAGAGTTGTTTTTTTTTTTTTCTTTCTTTCCCTTCTATTCGTTATTCATGAGGTAATAAAAGGCAAACGTAGGTCGCATTTATGATAAGAGCCCATTTATGGTAAATTCCGCATTTAAAGTATAGTAATGACCTTAGATTAAATAAATAAAATTTAGGGTCGTTACACTTGAATTTGGGGAAAGGCCAGTTAAGGCGAACCAAGTAAGTGACCTTACTATCAGTTTGGTTATAATTGTATGTTATATAATGACATGTGCTCGTAGCTTCACACGTGTCATATGCTCATATATCTGAACAATTAGGAAATGATACATGTACGATATGATATGTGAATGTTATGTTACATGTGATGAAATTATATGTTTACAATATGATATGTTAAGATATTATATGCTTGACGACATGCTCGTGATATAATATATAAATGTTATAATATATGATATGATATAATACATTAGAAGACATGATAAGTTTATGATAAGACATGTTTGACATGACTAGATATATGATACGATAGATATGCAATATGATGTATTAGCATAATGCACAACCTCGATATATGCATGGAAAGTATGATAAAATGATATGATAGAAAGGAAGGTGGAAGAGAGGTTGTTGTACATGATAATGAAAGGAAAAATATTGCGACCTCGTGCATCATTGTATGTTCATGCATAGGGGGATACCCCTTTTTTTACGATGGTACGGATGCGTACACTACGAGGCAGAGAAAATTATGATGTTGCAATGGTCGCTATTCCTAATGAGTGTCTGACATCAATAGCTCCAGAGAATGCTTGCTCGACAAGAAAGGGGCCTAAGAGATGTGCAAACCGACTAGTGGGTCAATACTCATTTGTGGACCGTGTGTAGAACAGTAAATACACATCCAATTACCCACTTAGGATAGTCGCCTAAGGAATATATACTAATATGATAGGTCTCACTCATGATTGTATGTGCTTGCATCTAATCTCAGTAGCGGGATCACTTGTTGAGTATTTCTTAAAATACTCAAGCCATATTTTATTCTTATTTTTTTAGGTAAAGGCAAGACTTCCTCGATGACATTACAACTCAAGAGACCATGACACACGCATAGGATAGTTTTAAATCTAAATTTCGTAGACTATAAGTTAATCTGCGTTTAATTTCGTAGCATATAGGTTAGTATAGAACATTTTTACTTTATGTTATTTTATTTAAAGACATTCTAGAAAACAGGTAAGTCCATAACTATGTTTTCATTATAAAATTTTGAATGAAGTATTTCTGCCTAAAATGTCTATGATATATATACCGTAACATCTTTAGGTTAAGTAGAAATCTAAGGTGTTACAATTTACAAAATTATACTATGAACTTTCAAATGTCTAATAACTTTGTGAATAAAAAAGATGTTAAATAGTGAATAAAATAAAAATGTATTAAATACAACATACAAAATTTAGAATTTATTTAACGGTGATCTATTAAACATAAAATTAAAAGCCACTTTTTAAACTATCTTTAAAATTTAATAAATTTTCTGAACTTTAAAGTATCTAATAGATTCAAAAATATTTAAAATACCATCGATTTTTGTATCTAATACTTAAATTTTCAATCTCTTGAAATAGACAAAAATATAGATGATTAATACATATTCTTCCCAAGTTTATATTTCCATGTTTTGAATAAAAGCATTAAAAAAAATCGATGACCCAAAAACCTTATTAAACTCGATAACCTATGGTTTGAGTTGAGATATGAATTTAAATGAGTTGAGTATAAATGAAAACCTGATTTATAAGTTCTTTTAAAATTAGATTGGATTGAATCCAATCCAGTATATATATACATTTTTCTTACCATATATACATATATTTATTTTATTTTTATTTAATTTCATAGTTATTTTTTAATTACTTATACTCCAATAATTAAAAAATAATTTTTAAGTAATTTTTTAAAATATATATTAAAATTGGGTCCTAAATTTAAGGTTTGAAATAAATAAATAAATAAATAAATAAATGTGTTACGAACCTAATTGAGGAGTCCAAGGCGTATTTATTTTGTATAAAAGAAAGCCTAAAACCCTACCATCCCTCCTTTTCCCCCACCCCTCTTCTGGTCTTCAGTTTTGTTATATTGTTACCGCAGTCGAACGCCGGCACCCCTCACTGTCCCATTCAGTTTCTTTCTTCTCTCCCTCTCTGCTGCAGCCGTAAGCTGCTGGCTATCCAGCATCCCTCCACTGCCCCCACCGGGTTCTTTTCCTTCTTCTCTTCTCTCCCTATCTCTTTCTGCTGCAACCGCACGCCGGCGAGCCACCCTCGTGTTCTGCCGCAGCCGCACCAGTGTCAACTACCTTCTTTTGCAGCTGTCCGTCGCCGTGGTCCACTCCAGCCTTCCCCCACACTTTCCATCTTCTTCCAGTCGCTCGCCGTCGAGTTCTTTTGGGTTGGATCAACTCCGGGTAAAATTCGAATTAGGTCATTTTTAATATAAAATCCTTTCATTGAAAGCCAATCATATTTTTGAAGGATCTTGATGACTCTAGGGGACCTTAAAAGTTATTTTTATGGATTCCAAGAGTGCTGTTGTATCTTTTTGGATTTTTTACTGGGAGACTGGGTCGGATTATACCCTTAGACGGTTTCCGTAGAAGCATATACTCGTTTTATAGTTCCATCTTGTAATTTTTTTTTTTTGGTAGCGGGAGATACAAGAATGTAAAATTCAAATATGTATTCAAAACGACATAAAATTAGTTTAAAGGTAATATCCACGGAGTCAAGTAAAAAACGGTTTACTAATCGAGGGGGTAGCATTTAAAATAATAATAATAGGACAAGAAAGAAGACTACTCGATTTAAAGGGCAACTCTCGTAGTTGCATGGCTCTGCATGCTTCTGCCATTAACAGGTCTACACTCCATCTGACAAAAATAAAATAAAATAACATGAGATGAGTATAAAATACTCGGAAAGTAATTTATTTGTAGTCTCTGAGAAAACTTAGGCGATGTGCTCGTAACTGTCGTAGAGGTCACAAAACTGTGGTTAAAGTTTGTACTAACCTTTGCAGGTTACTATGTAACTAAACCCTCAGTATACCTCATTTAAGGAGTATTCTAACCCTCTTAGGATCATAAATTGTTTTTTTTTTTGTTTTCTCTTGGCTCTAGGTTTCACATATGTCTAGGTCCTTCGTCGGTCTTGCGCGAGGTGCGCCTCGAGTTGCTGTGGCCCATGAAAAGGCCCTAGGGTAATACTCCTAGTACTTGAGGAGCCCTTTTTGTTCTAACATGGTAACCGTACTCCATACATGTCTACCTATTGAGCACTAAGCAAAGGGTTCTCCCTAGTGGTGTTGGGCAACATCTACTTGTCTGAAATCAGTAAACTACCTGTACTTTGCCTTTCCAGGCTGGAATAGTAACTACTTGCTCATGTACCCTTCTTGGGTTAGAACAATAAAACTACTTGTCTTAGGAACAATAACTATATGTTACTTTGCCTTTTCAAGCTAGAACAGTAAACTACTTGTCGCCACGCCATTTAGGTTGGAACAGTAAAAATGCCATGGCTCCCCACTAGGCACTGTCGATAGTACTTCAGTAGTATACCTTATGTGACTTCTGGAATCCACATAGGTGACAATTAAGCCATGTGTAACAAGTAGACCCTAACCCCTGTTTGGTTTACGAATAGGGGTTGCACCCTATTAGTTCCTACAAGGAATCTGGTCAACCCAAGGGGGCTATGGAACTCATGACTAGGTGCTAGGACCAAAATACGCGAAACATTAACTTGTAACCCATGGAGACCAAAACTAACACTCTATGGCGCATAGCGATAGTCCAACTCATAAGTGTTACAGGCTATCCAAACCCTAAATCATGCATAATGAACGTATAAAGGCATACAACATGCTCGTTATGCTCATTCAGTGATAATAAACCAACCTCAACATCCTGGAAAGCATAAAAGTCTAATAAACTATTAGAGTTCACAAATCATGCGTGTGGAAGCTATATAATTGTAGTTAGAATTGAATTATAAACTATTCACATTATCTAAACTTAATTATCACAAGGATGGATCAATTAGGCTTCTAATCATGATACTCAGGCATTTTTCCTCGATCCTAATCGACTCCTACAACTATTTCTTAGAATTTGCTCCATGTGGTTACTTACTTGTTTGTCCACTTCCCGAGCTTGGTTCGGGTCTTCAAGTTCTCCAGAATTTCTCAATTTGCCCTAAAGTAAGTCAAAAGAATATAACTGGTGAAAATGGCTTGAAGAACAAATTCCAGGAAGCTTCAAATTCCTTAAAAAAGGGATGTAGGCCGAGAAACTAACTGTTGACTGTACGGTCATCTTTTCCAACTTGTGTGCGTGCCATTTTGTTTTTCTTTCAACTTTTTTTTTTTTTTGCAAAAAAAAAAAAAAAAATTATTTTATTTATTTTCTTAAAACTCTAGATGTTACACCTTTTTGTTTCCTTGAGTCAATGACCACGTTACGACAACTAAGTTTCTAATGGAATTTGAGCATGGAAAGGACCCTCTAATTGATTTGTTTTTTAGTCTACTAAAAAATATTTTCTAGGAAAGAGGTGAAGAGTGGATCGAGTGAATATATAGGGATTAGGGACTTAGTAGAGAAGGATCTCATCTAGATGACAGAAGGATTTTTATTTATTTGTTTATTCTCTAGATTCCAAGGATGCAGTTGTATCTTTTTTAATTCCTCATTGGTAGAGAAGCTGAGCCGCATTATTTTCCTTGGACGGTTTCAATAGTAGCATCTACACGTGTATTAGTTCCCCTATGTTTCCCCTATGTTTCACCTTTGTTGTCAGTCGCCAATGAAAACTCATTCATATTATGAAGAAATCAAAATGATGTATATCGAGTTCTTGTGAATACATAAGTCAGAGATGAGTGAAGAAAGGAATTAGCACGTATTGAATTTGAAGAAAAATCAATGGAAAAAATGGTGTTTCAATTGTGTTGTATGCACATTATTTCTTTTCGAAGGATGCTATTTTAGCACATTGTTATGGCCTATTATCTTATGTTTGGCTATTGTTTTTTCTTTTCTACCTTTGAGAGGTTTTTTCCTTGAACTTTTTGTGTTGTATGCACATGAATTTGTATGTACTTTAGAGCATTGTTCTATTTGGTTGTATGTACGTGCATTTTTTTTTTTTTTTGTGGTGAACCTTGTAAGGGAATCAGTAGTACTAACTTATATGTAAATAGTGTTTAAGTTTCTAGTATTGATAGTTGATGGAAGTTATGTTTTTTTTTTTTCAATCTTAATTTTAGTGTTAGGAAATGTCAGATGAGTACTTGAACCACTATGAAAAATAAAAGAACACCGTCAATGACATGTTGACACATTATTTTCTATGAATCAATGTGATAATTTTTCTGAAGAATATATTATGGGTTCATATATATATATTTATTTCTTGAATGAGAGGTGGATTCTTTTGATAGACCCCTTTTCTTTTTATGTTTTGTAGTTCTTGCTAGCAATTTTTGGGTTTTGTAAAACAAGGGAGTGGAATTATACTCCCAAAAACTCATGGTCTATTTTTCCTGACAGGCAGGTCAACTTGCTGTTTTACCTCTTATTTGAGTCCATTTTTGACAAAACTTCATTATCTTTGTTTTTATATATATATATCTATATATATAATCTCAGGTGAGGTTGTGTTGCATAAAGGATTTTGAGACGCTACAGGCTCCAAGTGAGCAGACATGGGAGTTCCAGCCTTCTATAAGTGGTTAGCGGAGAAGTATCCATTGGTGGTTGTGGATGTAATAGAGGAAGCACCAGTTGTAATAGATGGCGTCGCCATTCCAGTTGATACAAGCAAACCCAATCCAAACAATCTTGAATTTGATAACCTCTACCTAGACATGAATGGCATTATTCATCCATGCTTCCACCCAGAAGATAGGGTAAACATTTGACACATATATTGAGTTCTCTCTCTCTCTCTCTCTCTCTCTCTCTTTTCTCGCATCATATAGCTATGTCATTTGTGGTGTTTCATTTTAGATAACATTGTAAATTTGTGGCGGAGAGTGCCAAGCTTTAATTTAATAAATTTAAGCAACGTTGGTCAGGATCAATTTTTCTTTGATGTCAAGGGAGATAACATAGTCAGTCCACGTACAACCTGATGAAGAAATTCTTTCACTTGATGTCAAGTCAAGGGACCAAAGCCAATAAATTGGGCTAGTAATCTCCACATGCTAGAATAAGTAATTGTACTTTCAGTTTAGGAACATGCCTATTCTCCACGGAAGAAAAGCCTAATACATTTAAATTTCTTTGTCGTCTAATATATTTTTTTTGATGTTGCTTGATCGTTCTATTTTACTGGTGCAGCCTTCTCCAACAACTTTTAGCGAGGTATTTCATAGCATGTTTGATTATATTGATAGGCTTTTTGTCATGGTCCGGCCTAGAAAATTGCTATACATGGCTATTGGTGAGTTCCCAACTTTATTTATTTATGTTTTGTTGCTTCAAATTGGTTAGACGAAGGAGTGGTAATGTTTGTTTTTAATGTTCATTGCCTGTTGAAATGAATGTACAGATGGTGTTGCCCCTAGGGCAAAAATGAATCAACAGCGATCTCGACGATTTAAAGCTGCAAAAGATGCAATAGAAGCGGTATGTGCTTTTGTTTGATAGTCTTTTCCTGGGTTGAAGGGTGTAAACCACCTTCCTGACTATTACATGTCTAATAAGTTCCTTGACTACCACTTGTATTAGATGATATGGTTGTAACTTGTACTTTACAGTTTTAGATTTGATGGTATTGAGTCTTAAGTTTATAGAGAGTTCAAGTTGATTTTTCAAAATTAGTACATGACAGACATTGCATTGACTGTGCCCCTTGACACAATCGCACTCTTAAAGGCAGCGGACTAGCGATTGTGCGGCACTCACTTTCCAACGACAAGTGAGCTGAGCCAATTTGTACTTGCGTCGCCTACGGCCAAGCGACGTATGATCGAGCCTCTAGCCTCGGTTTTAAAAGAAGGTTTTGGAAAACGAGGGTAGAGAGAGATTTTAGAAAGAGAGATTTTTGAAAGAGACGTTATATAAGCAAGCAAGAGAGAGATAACAACGGCTTAGCATATATAACCTTGGGTAGGGAGAAGTTGACAACTAGTCATATCCCCCTATAGTACATTTTGAGACATTTCATGTCTGGCAGGCCTAGACATGATATTTTTGAGGCGTCATACGCCCTAGAACTATAGAAGTAAAAACACTAGAATGAAAAGACATGACAAGGGTTTGGCTTGCCATAGGCATGCGGCCATGGGCAACACGCCGTGGACGAGCATGACCGTGACATCCTCCCCCACTTAATTGGTTGACGACCCCGTCAACCGACTACTTTCAAACCTGGCGATGTGGGTGGCTGCGGATTTCAGGTCTTCGGCGCGTTCCCAGCTGGTTTCCTCTGTAGGGAGATTCTTCCATTTGACAAGGAATTCACGAATCGTCCGTACAGGTCGTCCTATCTTCCTAACCCTGTCGGCGAGGATCTCCTCTACTTCTTTTGTTTCTTTTTGCCTCAGATCGATGCTCGGTCTTGTGGTTGCATTTCGTTGGTCGTCTTCTGGGTCAGGGTGGTATGGCTTCAAGTTGCTCACATGAATTACTGGGTGGATTTTCATCCATGTGGGGAGTGCAACTCGGTAGGAGGTAGTCCCGATCTTTTTAAGGACTTCAACCGGGCCTTCATACTTGCGAACTAGTCTCTGGTCCTTTCGATTGCGAAATCTGATCTGTTCTGGTTTCAGCTTGATGAGGACTTGATCTCCTGCTCGGAATTGACGGGGGCGACGCTTCTTGTCTGCCCACTTTTTCATATGCTTGGAAGCCTTTTCTAAATATGCCCGGGCTATATATGTTGTCTGCTTCCATTCTCTTGTGAAGTTGTGAGCTTGAGGGTTTTTCCCTGCATAAGGATGATCGATAATGTGGGGTAAGGCCGGTTGTCGTCCACTTACAATTTCAAAGGGACTCTTTCCCGTAGACGAGCTGGTTTGACAATTGAAGCAAAATTGGGCGACATCTAACAGTTGTATCCAGTTCTTCTGGCGAGTGTCGACGAAGTGACGTAAGTATTCTTCGAGCAAGCAATTGAACCGTTCTGTCTGACCATCGGTTTGAGGGTGGTAACTCGAGGAGATGTTTAAGGTTGTTCTCAAGAAGGCGAATAACTCGGTCCAGAATGTCCCAATGAATCTGCCATCCCGATCACTGATGATGCTCGACGGAATACCCCATAACTTTACAATGTGTTTGAAAAATAGTTGAGCTGTGAGTTCGGCCGAGCATAATTTGGGAGTGGGGATGAACGTCGCATATTTTGAGAATCGGTCTACGATAACCAAGATAGCATCATAGTCCCCGACTTTTGGGAGGTGTGTTATGAAGTCCAGAGATACACTTTCCCAGGGTCGTGTCGGCACAGGTAGAGGTTCCAAGAGTCCTGAGACTTTGGCTTTCTCGACTTTGTCCTGTTGACAGATGAGGCACGTCTTGGTGTATTGCATGATGTCGTCTCGCATGTTTGGCCAGAAGTACCCTTTCTTTATTAGAGCGTATGTTCTTTGCCACCCGGGGTGTCCGGCCCATAAGGTATCATGACATTCCTGAATGAGCTTCTTCCTCAGTTCTCCCGTTCTTGGGACATACAACCTGTTTCCTTTTGTCATCAGAAGGTCTCCCTCAACCCAAAACTGTCGTGTTTTCCCAGCTTTAGCTAGTTCGACGACGGCTTTGGCCGATGGGTCTTTATGTAAATGTTCCTTGATGATGTCGCGCATCGATCCATCGATCTTACTTGAGTGAATATGGGCTAACATGCACAGGGCCGCATGTTCGCCCTTCCGACTCAGTGCATCGGCTGCTTGATTACTCTTCCCTGCTTTGTGTTCGAACTTGAAGTCGAATTCAGCCAACGACTCCTGCCACCGGGCTTGTTTTGCCGTCAATTTTGGTTGATCAAAGAAGTGGCAAATGGCGCTGTTATCCGTCTTCACTACGAACTGTGATCCCAAGAGATATTGTCTCCAGACTCGAAGGCAATGGACTACTGCCAGCATTTCTTTTTCGGAGACAGTGTATCTACGTTCGGCTTCATTGAGTTTTCGACTTTCGAAAGCGATGGGGTGGCCTTCTTGAATAAGGACCCCACCTAGGGCAAAGTCGGAAGCGTCTGTTTCTATTTCAAATGGCTTTGTAACATCTACCAATCCGAGGACAGGACCCCTCGTCATGGTTGTTTTCAGATCTTCAAAGGCCATTTGACAATCATCTGACCACGACCAAGTGTGGTCTTTCTTCAACAGCTCTGTCAATGGGGCGGCTCGTCGTGAAAACCCTTCGACGAACCGCCTATAGTAGTTGGCTAATCCTAAGAAGGACCGTAAATCGGATACGGAAGTAGGAACCTTCCATTCTTAGATAGCTTTTATCTTATCGCTATCCATACTAATTTGTCCACATCTGACGACATGTCCAAGGAAGTTGATGCATGTTTGTGCGAATGCACATTTCTCTTTCTTGACATACAGTTGGTTTTGTCGCAGCTTGTCGAACACCAGCTTCAAGTGCACTTTGTGTTCCTCTAGGGTTGTGCTGTAAACCACTATGTCGTCGAGGTATACTATGACAAACTGATCCAAGTATTCGTAGAAAACTTGGTTCATCAACGTGCAGAAAGTAGCTGGAGCGTTTGTCAAGCCAAAGGGCATTACTAGGAATTCGAAGGCCCCATATCTTGTTACGCACGTCGTCTTGGGCTCGTCCCCTTCGGCAATACGTACTTGGTAATACCCTGATCGTAAGTCCAACTTCGTGAAGTACTTGGCCCCGTGAAGTTGGTCGAACAAGTCGGATATTATCGGCAGTGGATATTTGTTGCGTACCGTCACCTTGTTTAAGGCTCTATAGTCTATACACAGACACAACGTCCCATCCTTCTTCTTCTGGAACAGTACAGGGGCTCCATAGGGTGCCTTTGCCGGGCGGATGAATCCCTCCTTCAGCAACTCATCCAGTTGTTTCCTTAATTCGGCTAGCTCGGGCGGAGCCATCCGGTATGCGTTCTTCGCTGGCGGTTTAACTCCGGGGATGAGTTCGATTTCGTGATCAATGCCTCGACGAGGTGGTAATGTTTGGGGTAAGCTCTCTGGCATTATGTCAGCATAGTCGTTTAGTACCTCCTTGATTTCATTTGGGACAGTTTCTTCGGTGGTTGTTACTTCCATCAATGGTATGGCCATAAATGTAGGTTCCTCTCGTGCGAGTCCCTTTTTCAATTGTATGGCCGAGATCATTCGAAGATTACCTGGTTGCTTGATGCTTGCAGATATTACTGTGGGGTTGCGGTCAGTGATCACTAAGCACTTTGCCAGCGGCATTGGGATAACTTTGTGTTCTAGGAGGAACTCCATCCCAAGTACCACGTCAAAGTCGTCCATGCGAGCCACGACAAGATCTAGCTCTCCTGTCCAATCCCCTATTTTAAAGGGGACTCTTTTGGAAACTCCCACAATAGGCAAGGCCTCAGAGTTGACAGCTTTCATTTTTCCCGGGTCCCTTCCTATAGTGAGTCCTAATCTTCGGGCTTCTTGATCAGCGATAAAGTTGTGGGTCGCTCCTGAATCTATCAGAGTGCTCCTATTCGGTTGGAAATTTATTGTCGCATCTACGAACATGAGTCCTTTCTCTACTATCTCCTTCGGTTCGACCTTCCGTTGGAGAGCTGACAAGAATTTAAGTGCGCCCATTCGGGGATTGTCTTGATCTTCCTTCTTGTCAAGCATAGTCTCAACCTTTGCGTCATTGCTCTCTTGAATGGACACTTGGAGCGCAGTGAGAGAGGCCCGATGAGGACAGTAAGATACCTTGTGGGGACCTTTACAGAGCATGCATTGTAACGGCGTCGTCGGGTGGTTCCTTTGATGGTAAGGTCCTCGAGATGTCCCTGCTTGGTTATTCTGTGGAGGTCTATCCGTCCATCCGCTTGGTCTGTCGTTACCTCCGTTCGGCCTGTTGGGGCTTCCATTTCGATGACTTGGTGGTTTGTATGGCTTGCCACCAGTGTTTGGGGCTGGTGTTATTCTCCTTTGGGATCCCGCTTCGTTCCCATAGTCTAGGAGTCTCTCGGCACAGGCCATTGCGGCGGCTAGGGTTTGGACCTTGTTCTCGTGTAGCTTTGTTTTGGCCCACGGTTGCAACCCATTTATAAAGAAGAACACCTTGTCCTTCTCTGATGTGCCCCTGATATCGAGCATCAGGGTTGAGAACTGTCTGACATAGTCTCGTATGCTTCCAGTGTGTTTCAGGGCTACTAGCTTTTCCATTGCTAAATGTCCTGCGTTTTCGGGGAGGAACTGGTCCCTCAACTCTTTCTTAAGGTCCTCCCACGAGTCAATGGTGCACAATCCATCCTCGATGTCTTGCACCTTCGTACGCCACCACAGTTTGGCGTCGTCTGTGAGATACATCGAAGCTACGATCACCTTCTTGTCGTCAGTACAAGCCGTTGTGGCTTTGAAGTACTGTTCGACATCAAAGATGAAGTTTTCTAACTCTTTGGCGTCCCGATTCCCTTTAAAGGCTCTAGGTTCTGGGAATCTTAGTTTGTTGGACCCTGTATTTGTTTGTCCAGCCGTGACGTTCTCCACGGCTTTCATGGTCACTTCAATTCGAGTGCCCATGGAGGCCATCCTTTCTTGGATGTCATCGATGGTTGTTCTGAACTCATCAGCTAGTCCATTGAACAAGCTCATCATTGTATTTTGTAGCACGTCGAACTCTTCGCCACGTCTCTCCTTGTGCGCGACAGAGCTATCCGGACTACCAGATGGTTTTGGGCTGCTCGTAGGAGCAACTCTTTCTTCGAGCGAGGTCACTCGAAACATCAATTCTGCGATTGGCAACCCATCTAGGCGGTTGCCCATTGCGTCGATTCCTACGACTTTCTCGCTCAATTCGGTCACCCGTGCTTCCAGGAAGCGGAGGGTGTCAGGGACTTCTTTGAGGAACAACATTTCCTCCTCTATTAGCGTAAGCCGGTCGGCTTGTGCTTTGGGTGTCGACTTTGTCGTCGACATGGTTTCGGTCTTTACTGTGTCACGGAGCTAACAAAGCTCTGATACCACTTGACACAATCGCACTCTTAAAGGCAGCGGACTAGCGATTGTGCGGCACTCACTTTCCAACGACAAGTGAGCTGAGCCAATTTGTACTTGCGTCGCCTACGGCCAAGCGACGTATGATCGAGCCTCTAGCCTCGGTTTTAAAAGAAGGTTTTGGAAAACGAGGGTTGAGAGAGATTTTAGAAAGAGAGATTTTTGAAAGAGACGTTATATAAGCAAGCAAGAGAGAGATAACAACGGCTTAGCATATATAACCTTGGGTAGGGAGAAGTTGACAACTAGTCATATCCCCCTATAGTACATTTTGAGACATTTCATGTCTGGCAGGCCTAGACATGATATTTTTGAGGCGTCATACGCCCTAGAACTATAGAAGTAAAAACACTAGAATGAAAAGACATGACAAGGGTTTGGCTTGCCATAGGCATGCGGCCATGGGCAACACGCCCTGGACGAGCATGACCGTGACACCCCTCTCCTTTATCACCTCCAGTTGGAGTGTTTTGTTAAATTCATTTCAAGGAAGCTTTTTGTATCTTCCATTCATTTGAATGAACTTCTAGTTAGTAGAGTTGGGGGCTAAAATCCTGTTTTTATTTATTTATTTTATGAATAACTTACAAATATGTTCTGCGTATAAAAAAGTTGGTAGGATATTGCTTTTGGCTATTTCTTTTCCTGCCTTAGTATGATGTATAATTGAAGTGTTCAACTGCATCAATTTCACGTGAACGATTATGTACAAAGAAGATAATCTCCTGGTATGAGCATTTAATAAACTATGCTTTTTTTTTTTCTCTTAGGCCACTGAAGAGGCACGATTAAGACAGGAGTTTGAGAGGGAGGGACGAAAGCTTCCTCCAAACGAAGAGTCACAAGTTTTTGATTCCAATGTGATCACTCCTGGAACTGACTTTATGTCTGTTCTTTCCGTTGCTTTGCAGTACTACATTCATCTTAGACTAAACAACGACCCAGGTTGGAAAGGTATTAAGGTAAACATGACATGACTATTACTTGTATTCTAAAACCGGTAGTTTCACTGAATAGTGAATCCAGTTTTGCCCGATTTTAAGTGCTTTTAAAATGTGAAGGTTATTCTTTCTGATGCCAATGTTCCGGGTGAAGGGGAGCACAAAATAATGTCCTATATTCGTCTTCAGAGAAATGTTCCTGGTTTTGATCCCAATACTCGTCACTGCCTGTATGGTTTGGTATATTTTTTTTTTCTCTATGCTTATTTTATGTAATTCACATACCTCTTGATTGTATGTGTTTTTTTAAAAATTAGTTTTCATGATTTCATCACCTGGTTGTTGAATACAGCGTATCACTTGATTTTACAATTTCAGGATGCAGATTTGATAATGTTAGCTTTGGCTACCCATGAAGTCCATTTTTCAATAATGCGTGAGGTTTGTATTTTTGCTTGTATTTTGGCTACGCTGCTGCAGTTTTTGGAGAATTTGGTATCACTCCCTTCCTGAGGACATGACACATGTTCATCATTTAAAATATTCAATGTATGTGCATTATACTTCATGAACCAATAACAACCATTGTTTCTTGGTAAACTTCAGATCATGTTCACTCCTGAACAGCAAAAAAAGCGCTTTCTAGCTGACCGTAAACGTAAAGTAAAGAGGAAGGCTAGTGAGTTTGATGCGAAAGGGGAAGATGTAGTTAAAAAACCTTACCAGGTAGGATTTCCTCATATTTATTCTTTGTTCTCTGGTGGAATAATAGGTCAAATTCTTTATGTCCTATATCTGTTATTTACTTTGTATGGTCCTTTTATTATGCAGTTTCTCCATATATGGATACTTAGAGAGTACTTGGAACGTGAGATGTGTATTCCCAATGCTCCCGTTGAAAGCGACATTGAACGCATTGTGGATGATTTTGTGTTCATGTGTTTCTTTGTTGGTAATGACTTTTTACCTCATATGCCCACATTAGAGATTCGGGAGGTAGAGTCCATACTTGAACTTACCATTTATAAGTTAATGAAGTTTTGTTTGACCTCCAAATGGAATTGTTCTATTCAAGATTTTGGGAATTCCATTTTTTTCTTTTCTAAATTTTGTTATTTTTGCATGTTTGATTTCAGTTAACTTGTCAGCTCTTTGTTAAGGGTAAAATAATTTTTTTAGGCAAGTGAGCGTTCAGCTTGTTAGCCTTTATGAAGAATGAAAAAGCAGATATATAGAGGAATATTGCTACTGAGGAAGAAAATTAAAAAAATATTGATAATCTCATAACTTGGAACAAAAAAAGAATTATAAGTGTACACCATTAAACAAAAGTCGTGTTTATGGAAGTTACGTGTAGAGGTTGATTATTGTCAGCCTTTTAATCCAAGGTTCGATCAGCTATATGAGCAAAAAGTTGTATATTTTGTCTTGGACGTCATATGTTGGTCGATGTGGTTCCGTCTTGGCAGATATATCCTAAGAGGTTTAGGTGACTTTTCTTCTTGCATTATAAGTATTCTAAGAATTTGGATTGTTTTTCGGTGCAAGTTAGAATGGAGGTATTATTTTTTTGTTCTTTAATTCCAGGGTGCAATTGACTTGCTATTGACTGTATATAAGAAGAAAGTAAGGGAAGTTGGTGGGTATTTGACTAAAGGAAGCAAGGTAATTTTTTTTTCCTTTTTGGTTTTTTGATTTTATGCTATAATTTACATTAACATCTGTGAGCTCAGGCATGAAATGCTTTACTGTGGGTCTTATGTCAGCCAAATTTGCGCATAGTGGAACAATTTATTCAAGCTGTTGGAAGTAATGAAGATGACATATTCCGAAGAAGAGCTAAACGGCAAAAGGTTCTCTTCTCTCTTATGTATACATGTTTTATACGTTATTTATCCCATCATCTTTCTCGTTTTGAGGTGAGAATTAGGAATGTTTTTTTTTTTTTTTTTTTCAGAGGTGAGGATTAAGAAACAAAATTTCATTTACAATGAAATTTACTAAAAGACTTTTAATTTCTAGTTAATTTGTAGATTACATTTCATATTGATTGTATTCCTATGTGATATCCTTTCCATTCTCTCACTGTTGGTCATCTTTTATAAATTCAGAAGCAGGCAGGAAGAATAAAGCTCTCTAAAGCTCTGACAAGAAGAGGAGATGATGCAGGGCCTTGGGTTCAACCATCCCTAGTTGCAGTTGCTCGTTTTCATAGATCTCGTCTAGCTTCAGGTCCTTATCCTTCGCCATATGGACAATCAAGAAAAGCTACGTCCAGATTCTCAGGACTGAAAAATAAGAATATGCAACGTCCTAACAAAGTTGCACGTCTATCGTCTGGGGATTCTACTGGTTCTGCTATCGTTGAAGCAGAAAACACTTTGGAAATAGATGTACGTTTCTGTGCTTAGGGCATAGTTCATTGTTATTATGACTTCCATTAGCCATTTTTTAGGACTATTTTCTATGGCTAACCTGTAATTGGTATGGGCCTTGCCGGCATGAGTTTTCATTTAGACCATTGAGAAGGTCTAGAATGCTAATTATATCTAATTTTTGTTTATCTTCTAGATCCATGAGAACAACAAGGAATTGAAGACAAAGGTTAAGGAGTTTCTGCGTGAGAAGTCTGATGTTTTCAACTCTAATGGTTCAGAAGTAGACAAGGTTTGTATCTAGTAATGCTAATAGTCTAATCATAGTTGTATAGTACAATAATCAATGTGTTAAAGTTCATCTCATAAGCTGAATGAATGTTGGTGGTCAGATTAAATTGGGCATACCTGGGTGGAGAGAGAGGTATTATAATGAGAAGTTTTCTGGAAATACTCCTGAGGAACTCGATGACATACGAAATGATGTTGTAAGTTATTAAGCGAATTTCTAGTGATTTCTTAGTTTTTTTTATCTTCTGGAGTTGTAGGCTAATTTTTGTTGTTTTTCTGGCAGGTTTTGAGGTACACAGAAGGCCTATGTTGGATTATGCGCTATTATTACGAAGGCGTTGGTTCTTGGCAATGGTGAGGTTTTTATTCTCGTTTCTTTGGTGCTTTTGTCATCTTTTATTTTTCGTGTTATTGCTTATTATTGTCTAAGATAAATGGACGTCTTAAAATGAGTAGCAGAATCTAAATTGAAACCGGTTGTGTTATCTTCTCATCAGTTTTCCTCTTTCTAGATTCTGCTACAATTTTTTTTACCTGCCTATGTGTCTCTAGCACATCGTTAATATGCCCTGACCTCGTAATTAAAAAGGATAAAATAATAAAAATTGAGAAAATTTATTAAAAGAAGTCGTTCTAAATGACGTGACAATCATGGGTTTGGAGTGCATCTATCAGCCGTGGGTTTGGACTGCATATCTTTACGCTTCTGTGTAATCTGAATTACATATCTCTGACAGAGTGAATGTAATTAGTTCTTATTCTCGTGATGTTCATTTTGTTGTTTACCTGTGCCATTTTCTTCCTCAGGTTTTATCCATATCATTATGCACCATTTGCTTCTGATCTCAAAGGTCTTGATAAGCTGAGTATATCATTCACTCTAGGCACTCCCTTCAAGCCATTCAATCAGCTACTGGGTGTCTTCCCTGCTGCTAGGTCTGGTGCTAATTTCTTTCAAATTAAATGGAATTTCCATTTATTAGAGGGTTCTTACATTGAACTTTATGCAGTGCACACGCACTCCCGGAGCAGTATCGGAAATTGATGACGGATCAGAACTCGCCTATTGTTGATTTCTATCCTAATGGTACAAAATCTGTTTAAAAATGACTGCGTTATGGTTATCAAGTTTTGTCTCCCCTCTAACTTTTGTTTGATGCGTCAGATTTTGAAGTGGATATGAATGGTAAACGGTTTTCCTGGCAGGTTGGTTGCTTTCACCCCTTATTTTATTCTTTAATGTGATGAATTGGCTTTAGTTATGTTATGCGTTGTTGCTTCTTTTTTAATAATTTATTCATACTATTCTGCAGGGAATTGCAAAGTTGCCTTTCATTGATGAAACCCGCCTTCTTGCAGAGGTTGAGAAAGTCGAGCATACATTGACGGTGTGTTACTAACTTGTGGTTCAGACATCCTTGATGAGGTCTAGATGATCCATATCCGTCTCTTTGAATAATTAACTTTTTACATTTCTGCAGCAAGAAGAAGTGCGGAGAAATAGTGTGATGTTTGACATGCTTTTTGTCACATCTTCTCACCCCCTCTCTGTTAGTATATACTCGCTCAACGACCGCCGTAAGCTGACGGGAAGAAAACGTAATCGGGTTAAGGAAAAAATAAACCCTGAACTTAGGTTTGTATCATGTAAAAATCTTTCCTTTATGAGCATATTAATATGATCATGATGGGCACAATCACACCTTCCCCTTGTTAGCATGCAAGTTCATCAAATCTGATTAACTTAGATATGGTAGCTGAGTTAACTTTAAGACAAATATGTATTTTATGGTTCATTTTGATGCTTTGTACAAATTTTTGGGAAGGTTCTCTGGACTCCGATCTGGTTTCTAGGAAACTCCTTGGGTTCTTTACACCATTATGCTTAATTTCTCATGGAAATTTTGTTGATATTCACGTTCTTGGTAGAAGTTAGTTAATTCTGATTTGATTTAGCGTTAACTGCAGTGAAGGAATGAATGGTTATCTCTTTCCATGTTCGGGAGAGTTGTGCCCTCAAATATTCAGGTCTCCAGTTGAGGGCATGGAGGATATTATGAACAACCAAGTCATGTAAGTGTCTTGAGTACTTTATTTGATATAACAAAACTACTCATCACGGTTTCTCCTTTGTTTCTTTTTCTTTCAAATCTAGATGTGCTATATATCGGCTTCCGGACCCACACAAGCATATCACGAAACCGCCTGCTGGGGTGAACTTTCCTCCAAGGGTACTTTATATTTCTTTTAGCTTATATTGATGTTGAAACACACCAATATCCTGCGGTTGTTTAATTCACTTGACATGTCTTGCGGCAGACGGTGAGCATGAGAGACATGAAACCTGAACCTGGTTTACGGAATAAAGATACACAACGCCACGAAAATGGAAGATGCGTGGGAGACACGAGGCCTGAACCTGGTTTACAGCATAAAAATATGCAACGCCACGACAATGGAAGATGCATGGGAGACATGAAGCATGAACCTGGTTTACGGCATAAAGATATGCAATGCCACAACAATGGAAGATGCATGGGAGCCATGAGGCCTGAACCTGGTTTACGGTGTAAAGATATGCAATGCCACGACAATGGAAGATGCAATGAGAACGCAAGGTAGTATACCTCCTACAGAAACCGGAAGAATTTCACTCGTAGCCAACTATTTCAATACATTTTTTTTTCTTTCTTGTGAGTGTTCTTTCCTTTCCAGGCCAAATGCTACTGGAATCATTTCAGGTCGACTATTAGGGGATGCATCACGTAGACTTGTTAACAGCTTGCTGGTTAGGAGGGTAGATTCTAAGGTTGAGGACAATTGTCAGGCACTCTCACTCCCCCATACGGCACAGCCCTGCATCCTTGGGCAACCTCCTTCACAGGCTCAAGAAGACTGCAGAATGCCAGCTGTGCCAGACCGAACTATTCCAACGCAACACGTGTAGCCAACGAGATCATGGGCAATGTCTGTCACTCCGAGGCCATCACTGCAACATGAGAACTCATTCCATGATCACAAGATCAAGCAGAAGAATACAGAACCAGGTGCCAGACCATACCAAAGGGCATCACGCCACCTAGATCGAGTACCGTCAGCCACTCCCAAGCCACCACAGAAAAATGAGACCTCACTCACACACAATTGTAGAGCACTCAATCAACTGAGTTCCCAACATTACAGTGAGAAACCTGAAGGTTACTACCCATGGACATCAACATAATGGTGAGGTTGCGAGGACTCAGTTTCCACCACCCCAACTTATGAGTGTTTACCATTACAAGTTGGAAGCTTTGGGGAGCAGTGAGCGAGGTGGTGATGGGTGTCATGACCATATTTATCTAGGGCGTGTTGCCTGTTGTCATGTGTCTATGTTATGCCACACCTTTAGTCTAGCTCATGTTGTATTACTTTGATTTTATGTTAATTATTTTATTATTATATTTGTTGTTGCACAATGAAATGCCTCAAAGTGTAGTGTAGGGAGATATGACTAGTTTTCAATTCTTTTTACCTAGGGGTATATGTTATTTAAGCTGTAGTTGGCCCTTGCTTGCTAGCCTATAATGTTCCTTTCAACTCTTTCAAAAATCTCTTTGCCTCCATTTTTGGAGACTTTCTCAAAGTGGGGTCTTGACTTGGGTATTTATTGTTTGTGTCAATGACAATATGATCGTGTGTTGGTTGACTCACTTATGACTCACTTAGGGGTGGTAGTAATTATTTCAAAATCACTTTACAAAGCCTTGAAAAACTACGTGATAGCTGGTAGTAGAGTTGAATTGGCTCCAAGAAGTGATTTATTTAACACTTCCATGACAAAACAACTATACAAATACCACAATGATTGATTGGTCGACATCAAAGAGCAAATTTATTGCCTAGATTAACACGATCGTTATAGTAGCTGGCTGCCTTGATGGGATGCCCATCTAGGAATTGATAGAAGATAGCCATAAGAGGGATAGCTCAGAGGGCTTTGTTGCTCAAATAGAGGACAGTGCGATACTCGCGTGGAAGCAACCGTAACAACAGTCCTATCTCCCCTAAAAGTGGGAGAGGAGATAGTGGGAGATCATAGAAAATCACTTCAATCGTGGATCAATAGAGTATTTGAGTGCCCCATGAGAGCGACCCTCTAGGGCTTCCAAGCCACATTAGGAGCAGACTGAGGCATCAGTAGAAGCTGAAATGCCATCACCAGAAAGAATAGACAACTTTCTTATAGGGGCCTTGAAGTTTTTTGTCTGCCCTCCAAAAGAAAGTAGGGGAATCAAGAGAGCGGGTTAACCACAAATTGACCTAATATGTTCAACTTTAGGACCACCCACAACTTTATAATAGAGACCGAAGCAAAACGATTGAACATAAGTTGACATCGAGACTCAGGAAAAATGAAAGTCGTCAACTTTAAGGCCCTACCAATTCTAAGAGTGGCAAAGAGGATTACCCTCAAGCTGGGAACCTGAAGTGGACAAACCGACTTTGTGATTGTCAAGATGGACAATTTTGGTGTCGTAAGTTTATGTCACAAGTTATGGTGCCCTCAAAGACAACTTTATGTCACAAGTTATGGGCATTCAAATTTCTAGTTATGTCCTTTGACATCACGAATGCTCTAGTCACATTTTCACTTTAATGAACCTAGTCTTGCACGAATAACTTGATAAATTCATGTTCGTATAAACCTTGGAAGAACATCAAGTTCACTTATATAGTTTGTCTTCAAAGAAAAAAAATTGGAAAATAACTAACTATATGTTTTCACCCCAAGCAAGGTTAAGAAAAGATCTGAGGAAAATATTAAGAGGATCAGAAACAACAAAGAACCCAAGAAACAACAAAGAACCCAAGTAAGCGATTTCAATACTCTAACAAGTTTTTAATAGTTTACTGTTCAATCAAGATGAAATTTCATAATAATAGGCTGGTTTTTAATTTTTAAAATCAAAATGTTACCTTAAATTAAAATGAACTCCTAGTAAATTCTTGATTTTTAAGTAATTAAGAGGATACCTCAAAAACATGTATTAAGTAAGCTTATCACACACCCATGTCCTAAAGTAACACACAAGCCTAACTATGCTAAGATATGACGTTTGCTAAGTACCACTCAAATAATAGGAACCAAGGATAAGATTTAAGAATAAAAACTAAGGACACGAACATGACTAAGAATAAGTGTGGTACCTTAGCATACCTTAAGAACATGGTTAAGAGCTTACAAGTAGATTACTTGCTGAGTCTTTATAGTCCCTCCATGTTTTCCATGATTTTTAGGGAGTTAAGGAGGTAGGCGAGGTCAGGAGTGGACTCTGGAACAAGTGTCATAGACAAGTCTCACCCATAATCTTAAACATTGTTTTGTTTTAATGTTTTTGTGTTTGTTCCTTATTTTGTAATTTAGACTACGGTATGAATTCTATTTTGATATAACGTAAAAGTATTGTACATTATGTTTGAAATTCTCTTTGTTTTTATTTTGCAAAAATATTTATTCGTTTTACCCCATCCAGTTAACCCTAGTCACTATGACATATAATTGATTGGCTAAGTTACCCATGGGTACACATGAGATGATAGATATGAAGAAGAAAAGAACTTTCTGCTTCATTATAGGCTTAAGAGAGGATATCGTGCAAGGGTCAGTGGTGGCCCATGCCTCAAGCAACTGCGCCACCACCCTCAAAGCTGTCACCTTACTAGACATGTATAAACAACAACCAAAAATGGGGGAGCAGGTTAGTCAGAGCACAAAAGAAGGTCCTCAAACAAAAACCACCACAACAAGAGGCTGAAGGACATACCTCCATGCCAAAAATGTCAAAAACTTCCTGATCGGGAATGTAGGGTAGGAACCAATGCCTGTTTTAACTGTGGCAAGGGAGGCCACCGGTTCTTTGAATGTCCACACCGAAGAAATCAGGACAACAGACGAGCATGCCACACCAAGAGAGACAACACCAACATTAGAACCAGATGGGCCAAGGGGCCGGTTTTGCCCTTTGAAATTTCGTAAAGATGCAAACTCGAGCAAAAAGTGTCACACATTCCAAATAAGTGGCACCTCAGAATTTTGGATTTATCTATGCTCATAGTATGCATCAAAGTATGATATAAGAAGCATGTTATAGAAATTTGAGCATGAAATGAGTTGGTTTGATGTATGTAAGAGCACTTTAAGCATTATGATGCACGTTTATCGAAGAATGGACTGTGGGGCTATGATATGACCGAAATTGAGAGCATACCTTTAGTATGATATAAAGCATATTATAGGAATCTACTTATAAATGTTTGAGCATAGAATGAGTTGAGATGACACATGTTACTATATATGTTACTGAAACGCGTACGGCACTATCTTAAGAACTGAAATTGATGACTAGGTATCCATGTTTAGATCGCTATGCTATGTCTCTATTTTCTATATTTATGATGTATGTGGTTGTAGAGGGACGATTAGGGATTCGCCAACTAACCTCTAATCGTGAGTCTGATCGATTTTCAAGGCTCCAGATAACCATATAATTGGCTTATGATATTTTAAGACTTGTGACAGTACCTTATGTGGACTATTGTGAAGTTTGCCAGTTAGCTTCTTGTAGTGAGCTTGTCACGAGTGGTAGGGTTCAACAGTTGTACCTTACTAGTTGGTTATGATTATTGTTCATGCATGTGAGTTATGCGATTATACGAGGACGATAGGGGTGTTGCAAAAGCTTTAGTTGCTATTTTTATGTTTTAGTTCTTGAATATCAGATCACTGATGTGATCGTATGCCGATATCAAATCACTGATATGATCTTATGCCGCATTCTTTGTTTAGGATTTTTTTTTTTTTTTTTTTTTTTTTTTTTTTTTTTTTTTTTTTTTTTTTTTTTTTTTTTTTTTTTTNTTTTTTTTTTTTTTTTTTTTTTTTTTTTTTTTTTTTGTCTTTTATTAAGCATTGTACTATAAATAGTCATTTTTCACATAATAAAACACTAAATTTTCTTCCTTCTTCAAACTTATCTTCATTAAATTTATTATTTGGTATCAGAGTCTTGTCTCTTTCAGGTGCAGCTAAAGATGACTACTGAAGGTAGCTTTGTTCAACAAGCAACACCAAAATTTGTTGGTCACTACGATCATTGGAGCATGTTAATGAATAACTTTTTTAGCTCTAAAGAATATTGGTAAGTAGTTAAGTCTGGGATTTCTGCTGTAGCATATGATGTTGATTACTCAGATAAATAGAAGAAGGAGGTAGCAGATCAGAAATTGAAAGACTTAAGAGCTAAGTACTACCTTTTCCAGGCCATCGATCGCTCAATTTTGGAGACTATTTTGGATAAAGAAAGTTCGAAAGGAATTTGGGATTCCATGAAGAAAAAATTCCAAGGAAATACAAAGGTAAAACGAGCACAACTACAAGCTCTATGCAAGGACTTTGAGACCCTTCATATGAAGGAAGGTGAGACTTTTTCTGATTTCTTTTCTTGTACTCTCACCATTGCTAATAAAATGTGTTTTCATGGTGAAAAGATGAGTGTTGTTAGTATTATTGAGAAAATTCTGCGCTCCGTGACTTCAAAGTTTGATTACGTGGCTTGCTCCATTGAAGAATCCAATGATTTGGACATCATGACCATTGATAAATTGCAGAGTAGTCTACTGGTAAATGAACAACGTATGAAAAGACATATCGTGGAAGAGCAGACATTGAAGATCACTCTTGACAACAATACAGGGAGAACAAATCGTGGAGGTGACACATTTTGAGGTAGAGGACGAGGACGTGGGAGACCAGGTTTGAACAAAACTCTTCTCGAGTGTTTTTATTTTCATGATCTTGGTCATTTTCAGTATAAATGTCTCAAGAAGAATAAGAGGAAGGAATCACAAGCTCATTTTGTTGAAACTTTTGAACTTCTGCTTCTCATGGCATATGTTGAAGAGATGGTTAGAACAAAACGATGACTCAAAGGTTGTTTGTCTGAAATTGAAGCTTCCGAAACGGTAACAACAAAAGAATTGCTTCTTATGGCACATGTTGAAAAATCAACAAACGAAACCGCATGGCTCTTAGATTTAGCCTGGAGCAACCACATGGGTGGATATAAAGAATTCTTTTCAGAACTAGATGAAGGTTTTGACAAGTTTGTAATAAAGGTGTTAATGTGACACATGCAGAAGTAATTTGGATCTTAGACACTCTAAGTACATCAATTATAGTAAATTAGATAGCATGCTCAAAAAACATTAAAACTCAAGGAGTTTGAGTACTAACCTTTTGTAGTTTTAATTCTTTCTTCCTCACGAACCGGTTTCAAACCACTATTAGTGTCTTCCCTACTATTATCCGGCCTTAGAACGAGATTATAGAATCTAGTGAGTGACTAAACTCGGAAGGAATTTAGTATAAGTGAAGAGAGCGTTTTGAGGAATTTTCTCAAAGTTTTTCCAAGAACAGAATATTTCTACGTGCATCTATTACTCCATTTATAGAGTTATATTTGTATGTTATGCAAATTTGAGATTACCAAATTTTGACACTCAAAATTTCACTCAAA